ATATATATATATATATATATATATATATATATTGCAATAGCAAATTTATTTCAAACAAACCACATAAAATTTGAGCAAAGAGAGCAAAAGGTAGGCTGTCTAAAAAATGTTGCAACAAATTGATGGCCTTTAATTTCATGTATCCGAGCATGCTTGATAGCACCACGACGTCTTTGTAGACCAGGGCCTTGAATTGAATCATTACATTTATCCATTGGCCTGTCGTTAATTTGCTCTGAAATATGCTATATATATATATATATATTTATTTATTTATTTATTTATTTATTTAGAATAATATTTATATTTGTTAAATATATATAGCTAATATATTCAATTATTTAATTGCGTACATAAACTGAAACTTGACTAAATAATCTTTGGCTTAAATTGTTATTCGAAAGAAAGGATAAAAAAAGTAAAAAAAGAAGTTCAATTTTTCTTTCGCCTCATTACGTTTTCCAAATGATGCTACTAGCTTCCAGATTAAAAATAAAAGGACTACAATTTACATTTCGATTTATTCATTTGCATTCAAACGAAACGAAAATAAAAACAGAGACTCTGAATGTTTTCTGTGCTCGAATTAATGTTTGATTCTTTTTACATGTAAAATCGGTGAAAACAAATATTCGATCATAGTTCTGCAAAAATAAAGTGCAAAAAATATATTGCTCAAATTTGATGGCATAAAATAAAACAAAGCTTAAGTTTTATTTTGTGCTTATTATTTTCAATACAAATTTATATTTTCAACGAAATAAATTAGCGAAACAAGTGCAAATGTTGTCAAAGAGAAACCTTTATAATATTGAACTGAAAATAGCACTGCTTGAAAATTCCTTTGCCATTCACTTAACAATACAATTGCAATTTAATTCAAGTAAATAATCGAAGGAAGTAAGTATGGTACTTTAAAGAAGCAGCAAAAATTTTGACTTGATTTTGTGGAAAAAAGCACTGAGAGTAGTTTGTTATACCTCTATAATGCAAAATATTTTAACTGGTATAATATGCATATATAATGTAATAACTGTATCTGAAAAATTTTTTCAAATCTTCAGAACTGAGCATACAATAAATAATAACAGTACATACGATAAATAATAACAGTAATAATAATAATAATAATAATAACACTTTACTATAGACTTTTTATGAACAGAAATTTATTTTATATGAAAAATATTATGTACCAGTTGTTGTATTATATTGAATGTTAACTGTTACTAATTTTGGAATAAATTCTACTGCATTCACAAATATGATATTAGCAAACCACTACTCTTCAATAAATTTTTATTACTTTTATTCTACTATGCTGATATATTATTCAAAATTAATTTTTACCAGAAATCGACAAACTATTTTTTTGCAGTAAGTAAATTAATTTAATAAATAATCATTATTATTACAATTATAATACTTTCATTACTTCACAACACTATTATTATTTTATTATTATTATTATTTTATTCTGCTTTTGTTGGTATGAGGATGATCCAAGGTAAAGCATTTATTTCTTTATAATTTAAAATGTCCTTCTTTGGGAATTACTCCCTTTTTGGTAGTCATACTTGAAACTTTTCAATTCTTTTCTCGATCTATTAGACATTATTATATAAGTTTCGACATTATTATAAAGTTCTACAGTTCTGAGCAATTCTGCATTCCTATACAACTTTTTTTTCCTTTTTATAAACAGTTTCCTTGTACTAAGAAAAGAAAATGTAGAACTTTATCCATGTAAAAACATAAATTGCAACATATTATCAAAATTTGTTTATTTTAAAAATACAGAAATAGACAAACTTTGACAATAGTCATCAATTTATGTTTTCATAATTTTAATAAGATAATCATTTTCGAACAGTTTAGAAATATTTTGATCATACCCTAAGCAAACATTTTCGTGATTTTTGAAAAGCGTATGTTCAGTAATCTCTTGGGAGTGATTTTGAATGATAAATATGTTGAAAAATTGTTTTTCACTTATGTTTTCTTTAATCTGTTTAAACTTTTCAAGATTTGGGTTAACAGATAGCAATAACTACACACTGATAAGCATAAGTCTTAGAATTAGTATCACTAAAACACAAAAAAATGATTAAAATATTGCAATAAAATAAAATAAATGCTTATGAGAGGAAAACTTTTAACAAGTATTAAGTTTTCGCAAAATTAATTCCCAAAACAGCAAACATTTTTCCTCTAAATACTATGGCTGCAGTAGTAGTAGCATTTGCACATTTTCAATCAGTTTTCTAAAAAGCTAAATCAGATTAAAAGTAGTGAAGTTTTAACAACAACAAAAAAACATTATCTAACTTTTATGTATGTATGATTAATTTGAAAATGATTGATTAAGACTTTAATTTGCTTTCACAAATTTGATAGAATTGTAATTTTGAAAGATATTTTGATAATTAACATCAAAAATGTGCTAAAAATAACATTTTTTAAATGAAGTTTTGAGCATCATTAGACAAATCTTTAACTTTAATTTGTGAAGAGAAATTGAAGGCAAAAAGAGCAAGTTTAAAAGAAATGCTGCAATTCTTTTTTTCGTTTTTGCAAGTTAGAAAATAAAAGTTTTAGTTACAGTGGTATTGTTTTAAGATCAAAAATTTGCATATTATATAGAAAAAAGAAAAAATAATATCAGATAATTCTGGCAAAGATTTTTTGAGAGATCCTTACTGTCTACTTAACTTACTTTTATTACTGCTAAAAGTTATGTAGGATTCAGCAATTTTGAAAGGCTAACACTTTTTCAACATATTCTAATCATGTTTCACATTATGTAAAATAAATTATTTGCAAGAATAGAACAAAAAATTATCCAATCATTTCAAAATTAGATTATGCCTACTTTATCTAAAGTATTTAAGATTGCTTTTTCTTTAATTTTAAGTGTCATAGAAGCAATGACTTTGTCTTCTTAATCAAACAAAATGCATTGCAATACTGACTATCAAAAACAAAAAAAAATTGATGTAGAAAAACGGCAGATGGATTTTATCATTGCCGCAAATTTTTTAGTCAATTGTACATTTTAAATTAGTGAAATAAATTACTGCATGATTAAATATTTGTTAAAACAGTGTTATTAAAAATATCCATTTTCAAAAATAGTTAACTTCATCATTTGAAAAATTGAATTAAAAAAAAAAAAAAATTGTGATTCATACTACTTATCAATTTCAGCATTCTTTTTTTAAAATAATTTTCAAACTTACACTATAAAAATTCATTTTGTGAAATGAGATGAATGATTGCATTAGTTTTTTGTTTTAAAACACGAAAATAAGTCTTAATGCTTTCAATTTATCAAGTTCTATTTAAAAGAGAGAATAAGTATATCGATAAACTTGCCCAACAATTTATTTAAATTTGTTTGATTTAGTAATTTGTTTATCTGCTTTCAAAACTGACCAAGATCCGTAATATGACGAGCTTGAGCAAGAATACGTCCTGCTGGCTTTAAATTAATCCAAATGTGAGTTGTACTTTCTGCTTTGCACTTTGATACGATATCCTCAAAAAATTTTTCATGTATAAGCAAGTAATTAATAACATAAAATTTACTCGAACTTGGATTAATTTAATTCAGAAAATTAAATAATTCATTCATATTCAAAATATTTGACAATTTAAATAGAACAAGCTACATATCCAAATATATATGAAAATGATAATAGGAAATTGCAAAAACATCAGAAATAAATCATAGCAACATCTTGAAATGGCGATTAAACTTGATTTTTGTGTACTTGTAATGCGGAGTTAATACTTTTGAGCAAAAAACTTTCGTTATTGCTAACAAATTTTTGAATGTATTATCTATCAAAATTTTTGTCGCATATATATTTAAAGAATGAATGTGATAGAATGAAAGAATGACTGCATAGGTGAAAAAATGGAAAAAAAGCGAAGAATAATATTATGTAAAACTAAGCTTAAAAGAGTGATTGGAGCTAATCTAAAAGCTAATTTTTGAGCACACAATCATAGGATAAATGTGTAGTTATGAGTATAATAAGCTCAATTTTATTGTTATGAATGATATTTTCCCAATTCTCCTGTCCAATTTTCTCTCATTATTCATTTTTTGTCTTCAAGCATCAAAAAACTGAAAAAATGTCATTCATATTTTACTGAAGTAAGTAAACTGCACTTAATAATATAGTAAGATAGATGTTATGCAAAAATGTCAAGAGCAAATATTTCACTTCCAGTAGTACTTAGGCATGAGGATAGAAGAAGGAAGGTAAACTGACGAACAGAACAAGCGAATGTTATTTTTAGATAAATCAACAAAAAAAAATTAGCTGACAAGATTGGTTTAAAGATACAAACGTAAAACTGCTTAATACTAAGTTAGCAAGTAAATCTCTGCATGCTACTAGTGATTAAATAATTTGTAATCTACACTGAAAATAAATTTGTGCTTTTTTTAACCTAAATTCTACTCATTGTGGAGCTATTCATATAATAAATGGATAACTGATTATCAACTGTCGATTAGTAAATATTAGTGAGTATATGCTATCTGTAAACCTTAAACTTTTAAATGCAACAAAATTTTTTTTGGATAATATAAAAAGTTAGTTTAAAAATTTTCAAAAATCATATCAACCGCATTAGATGTAAAATGAATAAAATGAAGCTAACTTGTTGTCGCATGGTAGCATCAGCAATAGGTGTGGTACCTTTTAGTAAAATTACTTGTAAAACTCTCCCAGGTATCACATTTGTGTCCCACCACTTTCCCCACTCTGGATGTGTTGTTTTCCATTTTTGTACTAAGCGTTTTTCTCCTGAATTAAAAATATATTCATTATTAAGGGATTGAAAATGATATTAACAAATAAATAAATAAACAAATATATATATATATATATATATATATATAT